ACGTGTCAGGAAGTGTGAATGTACAGAACTATCAATATTCATCTGACACTAACCCCAAAAACTTCATCAAGTTTCCCTGCACAATGCTAAGGTCACAGTGTGATGTGCAATTACATCCTTCGGGATTATCGGATCTTACTTCTTTGAAGACAGTGATGGATGCACTCACTGTAAATTCTGAGCTATATGTGGAAATGTTACAAACATTTCCGATTCCACAGTTGGCTACTCATCCTCAAATTAATGAACACATGTGGTTTCACCAGACTGGAGTAACAAACCGTACAACTTAAATATCCATGAAAGCTGTAAGACAACTATTCCCTGGTTGTGTCATCTAACAAAACGGAGATTTGCCTTGGAATGTGAGCCTGTGACTTTTTCCTATGGGGATATAAAGTATTTGTTGCTTCAACCCCAAGAGATATTCCAGAGCTTAAGCGAAGACTTAAACGGGAGATGGAATTCCTGTTGAGATGTTACACAATGTAATGAACAATTTCTGGTTGAGGTTACAGGAATGTATGCAGAGAAATTGCAACCATCTGCAGGACATTGCATTCAAGACATGTCGTGCTCAACACCTGGTAAGGTAAATGCTTATCGATGTACTTAAATATCATCAAAAGCCTTGTAAAGTTCTGCAGTAATACTATTATGGTTAACTAACTGTACAGGTATTGCCATATAGCAAAACAAAACTACTAGAAGGATAAAAAAGATGCTTTTTCAACTATATTAAACATTTACAAAAAAGAGCTGTGTTTCTGCTTGAAATAAAAACAGATGTGAGTTCCATAGGTATGAGGTATGATCTCCTTGGACACTAATCCATATTTTACATCTGTTTTTCCACAAACACTTATCGTCCACACAACTATAGAAGAGAACTTGGGCAGTTCTGTCCCATTTATCTCTCAAAGTGATTTTAATTTCCTGTAAAATTTGAGAAGGAGCCTATCTTTGACCATTTCATCTGTCCAATGCTTCTCGTGAGCTATATGAGATTTTGGTCTGAGGAAAGCTCATGTCAGGGTCAATATCCTCCCTTACTAATGTGTTAGACACCTCAACTAACAGATTATTGTATTGATTTAACATGTTATTATATATATATATAAGTTATAATGGAAAGTAGTATCATATTTGTGCATATCAGTATTTGTTTAATACAAATCATTTTATTGCATATGCCAAAGCTGTGCAAGATGCTTTTGCAAGTGATTTCTCTTCTTTTACAAATCAGTTTCATTTTCATAAGCATTTCATTTTTGTTTGGAATGTCAAGTCAAAAATCAGAAGAGTTGCATATTTGATATTCCATGTTCTTAATTTCAGAAGGTAAGACTGCAACAAAAGGTACAAAAAACATTTCTAATGTGTAATCAGCTGCTTTAGATGTCTGTAAATGCCAGAAAAGTGGTTTGCTAGGCTTAGGTCAGGTAATTTTAATTGTATCATTCACAAAGAAGTATGTGATGATAACAAGTTTTAGGGTCAGAAATGAGAGCAAATCCTTATCAAATCATTGATCAGATAAGTTAAACAACCTAGGTCACCCATTTAAGAATATTTGAGCAGATTAGTAAAATTAACAGGGAAAATATTTCTATTTCTAGCAGTCTGTCAGAAGAAAACAAAGCTAATTGTTCAATCACTTGTAATTTGTTGTTGCTGTGACGACACAGAAGTATTTCGTGATTGTGTAGTGTTTGAAGATAAGAAATGAATACTTTATGACAATCCTAGGCGTAAAATTACAATGACTGTTTCCTATTAAACTACATCTCAGAGATACACATTAGGAAGGTACTTCTGTCTGTTTGATGGTATACTTGAGCCATAATTCATTTTGAGGTATTAAGTCAAATCATAACTGCACATCTCTATTGTCGTCAGCAGTTATATCAAGTAAACCAAGCTTTGACTGAAAAGCATTCAGCCCTTGTTAACAGAAAAGAGTCGTTCTATAGCATAACAATATACGGCCACATTCTGCAAAAAAAATAAATACTTCTGATAGAATCGGAGAATTGAGAAGGGAGCTGTTAACTTATCCACTTTTTCGCATGATATTGTACCCTCTGGGTTACCTTTTATTCAGGCATTACAATTTTTACTTCAGTGGAAAAAGATTTTGAAATGTGAAAGAAGTAAAAAATGGAATTTCCAGATTTTTTTATCAAAAACAGTCATTGTTCCACTGATTTGGAATTAAAAATTCGCCCACTAAGTTACCAAAAATCACTGATCATGAGGGTGATTACATTGTTATTTCAAATGAAAAATACATTCTAAAGTTATTATTTAGTTTAATATGATGGGAAAATATATTACTTTCTGGTCCCCCTTATATGCATTAAAACATAATGCATAGTTTGAAAAAATTCTTTTTTTTTTTTTTTTTTTTTTTTTTTTTTAAGTTTACATAAAGGTATCAATAATCTTGAAATTTTCTGACTAATTTGTAAATTTACTTTTTGTGTTATAGCTCTGGTGTAAAAAAACAACAGCAAGGTTTAATCCTGTATCTTCTGCTCATTATTTATATGAATGAAAATTCAATATCTGAAAGTAAGTTTCATTTTTAAACATATTATAAATTTGAAGCTTTAAATAATTTTAATTACTGTAGAATATTTAAATTTTTTAGTTATAAAATATGCAGAATTCATTTATTGAGTCTTATATTTTTCAACATTTCACTTTTGTCATTTAAATTTTGTCAAATTTATTTATTTGCCTTTTTTTTTTCCTGTGTTTGTGTGTCTAAACAGGAAGTAGGTTAAATTTTGCTCTGTTTTTAATATGTTAATTATGTCTGATGTTCACATGATTTGTAATGAAGAACTGGGTTCATTATGAGAGAGATTTTTAATCCATTTTCATAATAACCTCTTAAATGATCTCTCGTAGTACACTTCACCATTTGCACAAAAACACATCAGATGCGTGTGTCACTCGGTCTTGAAACGTTATCTGATTTGATTATACCCTGTTGGACAAGTGTTCTATGTCATATTTTTTCTCTAATGACAACATCTTCCTTTGATCTTATCCCTGTAAATTATTTTATGTCACATTCTAGTAGTATTTTATTTATTGATTGTAGTTATATATTCACTTATGTATTAATATTCTTCAGTTCATATTTTTAAAATTCTTTAAATCTCAAAAATATTTTGCATAAATTTAAAAATGAACTATTATATAAATATTGTAGGTTTCTCCAGGTATGTCTTAGCCCTTTTAATTAGTATAACAGCAACTTAAAATTTCTCTTGAATGTGGTAAATTTTAAAGCAAAGAATTTTGCAGTGTGCAATGTCCCATTCTTATAATATACTAACAGAGATTGAAACATCAAATTGCAATGTGAACCTTTTTCATATGTGACATATGGTCTTAACAAGCTCAGGTCTGTTTAGTTATTTAAATAGTTAATTACATGAGGCACAGCTGTACTTTAGTCTGTATTGAATTAAATGAATGGTATTTTATCAAAGTTGAATTATGCATCTGTAACTCCAAAAGAATAAAGGCCCATCCAATACGAGTACACTTGCAATGTAGTTAATCAGCTGCAAACTATCTTTAAAGAAAAGGTTGCATATTAATAATGCAACCATCTGACCAATATTTTCATATGCTTTCTCAACATGAAATACCTTAGGCAATAGAAACAAAATAAAATGCTTTGCCTGTATTACAAATGTTCCTCATCAATAACAGAAAAAGCTCATTTCATATATTTAATTAAGAATCATTTTATTTTCATTTTATTAGGAATTCGTTTTCAATTTGTATTTTTAAAACAGGCACTTTACATAGTAATTGGTAATTGATCAAGTACTAATTTATCTGCACCTCTTGCATAAACTATTTTTTATTTTTACTTGACTTTGCGGTATAATTTATTGTATATGTAGTTGTACATAACTTGTCTTAAGCTTGACTTTCCTCCTAAGTACAAAAAGCTTAACTTCATCCTAAGTAAAAAAAAATACATCAAATATATAATTCTTTACATGTTTAAGTTTGTTAGCATCTAAACCATCAGCTCAAAACTGTTGATGAACGTTCTGTTTCAAACCTTTGAAGATTTTTAATGTCAGTAAGAAATGTTACTTAAATTTAGACAATGAATTAAGTCATTGATTATAGTAATGATGGGTATTATTTTAATAATTGTCATGATTTATTTTTGTTATTTTTTGTAACTGTTGCATGGATTTTAAATGTTTAAAAATGTAATAAATAAGAAACTAAAATTTTCATTTATTCTCTCAATATCTTTCCAAGAAAAAAAGTACCTCAAAACTCGCCTTCGTTTTTTTAAGCTTATAGTAATCACTTAACAGTGAGAAAATTTGTAGTAATGTAAATCGAAGCTGTTATTCTTGTTTGATGTTAACAAGCCATAAATATTTCAGGACTGTTACATTTTACTTTAATTACACAACTTCAGAAATACTATTTTTTTAAGTCTAATTAATAAATGTAGAAGTAATTGGTCACTTAGAAGCACTGCAAATCAAAATTTAATACTTACTGTGCGTATTTATTTTTTTACATAAAAATCATTTCATTGTAGTCTTTCCCTGTGAATGTTCAACTCTATTGGACAAAATTTTATCTTCTAATGTATATTTAGGGAGAAAGTGAACAAATTGTAAGACACTTTAGGTTATTTTACAAGGTCTAGAAAGTTATAGTAAATGTGTGCGCACAAATATATATATATGTATATATGTATTATAATAATTTGGAATTGTACGATTAGAAAACATAATAGAGAAGACACCAGATTAATATTTTTATGAATGTGAAACATGTCTAAAAAATCAGGAAATCTAATTCGTTTACAAATGATGTTTTTAAAATAATTTTGGTTGCAGAAAAAAAGAAAATTATTTTTTGATCAACATTTTGTGGAAGCAGAGGATTTATATGTTTCCTTTTTCCTAATAAATAATTTTCTGATCGGAAGAATTAGACAACAGAAATTTTTTTTCTTTTTTCTTAGTTAAGTAATATATTTTTTGTTCCTAACTGCGAAAAAAGAAAATACATAAATTTATGTTTTCCACCACTGTTCTTCAGAAAACCATTTTTTTTTCCATTTCCTTTCAGCCAAAATTATTCACAAAAAAAAAAAATCTTTCATTGGTGAATAAGACTTTCTAGGCATTTAACATTCATAAAAATCTTTCCAGTTCTAACCCATCTTTACCCTCAGTTTTGAAGAAAATTATTTCCTAGTTTTTTTCCCATGTTCCATCAGTAGATGGTACCAATAACTTGTCGTCCTTCCTGTCATTGTTTTACCTGACATAAAAGAGATTTTAAAACTGTATCGCATATTATGTGGAACATGAATATTTTTAAGAATGTTGCATTTGTATTTTTAAACATTCAAAGCTATGTATAAAACCTTGAATAGAAAAAAAGTTTATTTTTTTTTTTTTTTTTCCCCCCCTAATTTTCCTCTGTATACTTTTAGATTAAAAACTAAGTAGTTATATTACTGTGTTACTGCATTTTTCATTTGCATATTAATTGTATGTAAATTCTTTAAGTGATATTAAAAGTTGGCATTTGCAGTTTAGTTGCTGCCTGCCAGACGTTTAATAGTAATTGAATTTTAGAGGTCCCACCCTCCCCACCTTTTTAAAAAAGAAGTTTCTCTAAGATGTGCAAGATAGATAGATACATGTCTGTGGGTTTTGTTTTTTAAATGGCAAAACGATTTTACAGTTTTATCATGAGACACTCTCAGTCCTGTCAAGAGCATAGCTTACTATTTCTACAAATATTAATACTAGAAAATATTTTAGCTAGCTAGTTTGATCAACAACATGACTGTCAGTAATTTCACATACTTGACATGTCCTGGCCAGGGTATAAACATTATTTTGACATGAAAGAATAGAAACAAGGATGGAAAAAGTGCTTTTAGTCATGTAGTGTAGATTTCACTACATGACTAAAAGTTGGCTAAAAGCCATCTGTTGATGAAAAATAGAAATAGCTATGAAATAATTTCTACAAAAACTGAAGGTAAAGATGGATTGGAAATAGAATCATAAATAATGACTTGAGTAAAAATATGCATAAAACATAACAATGCAGCTGCAATTATATATTTCAAAAGAATAATTTACAAAATTTTGGAATCCTATTCCATTCCTATATACAAATTACTTTTTGTGTTTTAATGAAAAATATTTCAAAATTGAAACCAGCACAATTTTTATAAAAATGTGAATTGGTATACTTGACAAGATGGTGTGGGGGAGAGAGATGTTGAAATAATCTAGTTAATCAGTTGAGTTAGTCTAAACATCTTATTCATTGATTTCTAATTATTATTTAACCAGTAATAAAAATTCAGAGCTATATGTATTTTAATGGGAAGATAATATTGAAGTTAAAATGTTTAATCAACCTGTATACTTTGCTATTTATAATTATTTTCCATTTCATAAATGCTGTAAACTGTAATCATTATTGACTTTATTTTAAATTTTCTACATTATCTTCTTTAGGTGATTTATGGAACGCTTTGGTCCCACTTGGAATAAAGCCCAGGTAATATAATATTGTAATGTTTCATTTATATAGTCTTTTAACAGTTAGGCATGCTTAATTTATACAAATCATTTTGATGTATCTGGACTTAACTGATCATGTAAATATTGAATTAGAATCAGTAAACAGTGATTACTTTTGTTTCTTCCTTAAAAATTATGGCTATGGATCTAAATTGCATATGCATTGAAAAGTTGAATGACCAAAATTACTATACTAGGAGGTTTAGACTGAAACTTTTGCTGCTTAAGGAGGATTTATTGGATGTTATCACTATGAAATTTGCATGTCCATTAACTGCAGAGTGGGTTTAAAAAAACTAGAGCTGCTATAGAACTTTTATTGGAAGGTAACCAAGTAGGACATATTTGAAAGTGCGTGAATGCGAAGGAGGCATGGGATACTCCCAGACAATACCATGAAAAGTCAATACTGTCTCAAAGACTTCTGAAAAAGCTGTGTAATTTGCAGTACAGTAATAAAGAACAAATAAGTGCTAATCTAATGAAAATTGAAACTATTGTGGATCAGCTATTTGCATTAGGCGAGAAAATTTTAGAGCCTTTATCCATTGCATTTTAGTAACTTACCTGAAATTATTCTTGTTAATAACAGCTTTAGAAACATGACTAGAAATAGATTTAACTATTGAATTAGTTAAGAATAAATTTTTAGAAGAGTATACTTGTCAAAACGAAATTAAAGGATCTGTACAGATAACAAGAAATTCTTTTTGCAATGCATAGCATTCCGTCTGACAAAAATAAACCACCCACTTGCTTCTTTTGCAAGAAAATAGGACAGTTAAAGGCTGATTGTAGGAAATATGTAAAATGGAAGTTTAAGCATAATCAAAAGCAACAGGTCAATGGAGCTATGAATTCAAGGCATTAATGAGGCAAATCAAGTTTCTAATCATCATTTCTTTATAAGTGTTAATAATTTCTATTGCTACTAGTGTGTGTTGATTCTGGAACCACCATTCATATATCCAGTGATGAAGCTTGTTCAGCAATTTTGATAGTAATTCCATTCCTGAGCAAATAACTTCATACAAATTATGATCGAAAACATTATGCATTGACAGCTTCACGGCAAAGTACGAGAGTACAGCTTCCAACTCTGTTCATTCGTTCTTGGAATTCTGCGTACTCTTGAGATTGCTACAGCTTGTGAAGCACTAGACGGTACACTCAATAGCCTCAACGATGCATCAACTCGACACTAGGCTGACTATCAACTCGGTGGACTAGGCACTGACTGAATCCACATGCAGGCAGGATTATATAGCTTTTGGGCTGCGTTCAAGAACATTCTGGGCCACACCAGTAAGAATTCGTTCCAGAAGGTCCACATCCATCTATGGCATGTCGGCAAATGTGTGCGGGGAAGCTATCTTACCACGTCTGGGCATTTCGTAACAGTATTTTGACTGCATCATTAATGAACATATGTGTATTAACAAAACCAAAAGTAATTAATATCAGCTATAAAAATTAGCTTTTTTTAAATTACAAAATTAACACTTACATCAAGGGATTTACAAATTGATAAATAATGTTGTGGCTAACGAATGAAGACATATACTCATTTTGTGGCAGTTGATACAAAAATGTCATATATAGACTCTAGGGAAATAATAGGGTATTTTAACCTAAAAATAAGATAACCGTGTTAAAATAAAAGGAAAAAAAAAAAAAAAACTTCCAAGCAATTATTGTTTCCTAATGATTCAACTTACAGTATTCCTCACCTCAGGTTGAGTTTACATGGTAAGAACACCAGTAGAAGCTTATGATCCAGATTATCTGCATCCTACTGTAAAACATAATGATGGTTTAATTATGATTCGGGCCCTCAGTCTAATGATTTTTAGCATTTCATATTATCACCTTACAAGGAAGAATAAACAGCAGTGGCACAGGAACTGCCTCCAGTGGATAACTGCATCTTTCAGACAAAAATGCCCCCATTCATCAAAGTTAAATTATTTAGGCATTATTTGAAGAAATGAAGTTGCTCATTTTCTCTCACCTAAACGGTAAACAGGTTAAAATATTACTGAGCTGCTGTGATATGTGGAGAAAAACAGAATTGAATATCATTTTCTTGTATCTGACAAGGAACTGCAGCAGTTTCTTATAGAAAAATGGCATTAAATACCCATTATGACATCGGAAGTTACATAGGAAGATCGTGGTTCCAAGTCATTATAGCAGACTTTTTTTTTCTGCAGTGGGGAAAAAACTACATGGCCTTGGAAGTTGTTGAATCATTGCTAACTACATGGCATCTTTAATGTGGCTTTCAAATTCTGGTGCTATTTATCACTGAAAAAGATAAATATTTTTATGCTTTGTAGTAGTGGCCACAAAATTGCTAGTAAAACATTGGCATTTAAGTAGTATTTTGTTGATAATAAATAACAATTGTGTTGTTACTTTCTTCAAATGTCTGTGCATTAAAATAAAGGAAAGAAAGTAAATCACTGCTATGATCATAAGAAGAGCCACTTTGATGGGTAGGAGGAAAACCCTTTAATAAAAATAACTGTTGAGCAGTCAATTTGGTTCCAGATTTAAATAAAAGATGTAACAAAGAACTGAAATAAACTCTATTTGCAGTTCTTTTAGCATGAGAAATAAGAAGCTAACTAAATTTGAATTATTTGCCCTTTAAAATGAAAGAAAATTATTATCCTATCAGTTGAGTTCAAAAAATATATTGTTAGTCAGTGGTTACGTAACACTGTGAATGAACCAGCTTGTGGCTAGCTGGATAAAGGATATGAACCAATAGTAGTTTTTCTCCGGGTTCTGTTCAAGACAGTTGAGTTTGATATGCTGTGTGGGCTTTTCTGAGTAGTGTTCTTACATGTAGCTTAAATACAAGACAATTCCTTTTCAGGAAGTCTTGTGGGAAAGTATCTTTTTTTGTTATATTCTGTGGTAATTAAATAATAACAACCTTGCAAGGAGTTTGACTATTTTTTATGAATCACCATCTCCAGGTTTTCCTTTATATGGAGGACATTTACACATTTTTAGGATAATTTTAGGGTCATTTAAAGAGGGTTTTTTATTATTATTATTAAATGTTTGATTGCATAGGCTCTTTTCTGAATTATAATTTTGTATCATGCTTTCCAGGATGCAAGTGTTTTTCATAAAATTTGCAGGGGTATTGATTTCTATTCCTCTTCTACTTTTTCAGAGTCAATCAGTCATGATGGGTTCGATCATCAGTCTTCGAAAAAGATCATATCAAAAGAACGAAGGCACAGTAGTCTGTGTGTATACATGAAACATCAGAGGACTTTTAAATAGAAATTTGTTAAAAAATATCTATGCAGTGCCTGTATCAATCTTCATTTTTTCAGGCAAAGCAGTGGTACTTTTCAAAGTATGACTGGTTGCATAGTCTTAGCGAAGTTTCATCTTTCAAAGTCACTTTCATAAAGAAATGGAATTTCTTCTGTAATTATTGGACGTAAAACTTTCTCTTAATAGTGTGTTGAGTTCATTTTAACCTTTTCCCCCCACTTTTCTTAATTTCTCATTAAACTCTAGCTGCAATTTCTCTCAAGCCCTTGCTGCAATTTTTATTTGCATTAATAGAACCAGGTTTGCGTATTTTTTCTCTTTGTTTTTAATAATAAATATACTTTTTTTGTTGCAGTTGCTTAAGTAAATCCATGCTTCATCAAGGGTCACAATCCATTATCTCTTTCTAAATAGTCTTCATTTACAAGGTTGTATAAATTATTCTTCATTAAGCTGCATGCCTCATGAAAAGCTAGTGAACATTGTTTTTTTAGCTTTTTTAAGTGGTAAATCTTGGTTTACTTTATTTATTGCTGCTACAGATGTATTTAAAGACTTTGCAGTTGATTCCAGCATTGGAGAAATTTCTCTTGTTACCAATGATGTAACTTTAGAAACGGTACATACCTCCTTTTTTTTTTTTTTTTTTTTTTTTTATATTTGTTTAGATATAGTTATATGTTAGTTCTTTTGGATATTTGTTTAGAGTCTTCTCAGCAATGTAGAAGTATTGATTGATGGTTTTTTCCCCTTTCTGATGAATAGTATTGGTTATTTTGCATGTAAAGATTTTAATACCATGTATTTCTCAATGTTTTTGAATAATGGAATATTTCTCTTTGTAAAGGGCAAAAACATATCTTTCAATCCACAACTTTTTTTACATGCGACATATTGAAAGCAGAATAAATATAAAAATAGCAGATGATATTTCTCATTTCAAATAAGCTGTTGCCAGAAGCCCAAACTCTTTTTTTTTTTTTTTTTTTTTTTTTTAATTCTTTATTGAAAATGTTCTAAAAGTGCGTGAGCACTGTCTGTATCTGCATACATTATGAATATTTTGCCTTTAGTGTCTTTAATTTAAAATTTAAGCTTGTGATCTGAAGATTATGAAAACAGTAAATAGATTATTATTTATGCAAAATAGATTATTATAAGTGTGTCACATCATTTGAATCTGAAAAGGTATGGTGCTTTAGAAGGCCTTTTTTTAAGTATCTAATGTAATCACTATTTAAATGTATCATTATGTGTAATTTAACAATATTGCTCTAATAATTATTTCTTTTTAGCACTCAGAAGTCACATCCCATATTTGGAGATGTTCAGAAGTACATTAACTCTGAACTTGTTAAACAAATGTACATAGATCATGTATGTATCAGTAAAGATCCACTTAATTATGAGTATCGATGGGGACCACGAGCCGAATCAGAAGTAGATAAATCAGATCTCCTTCAGTTCGCTTGCTTAGTAAGTTTTTTTCTTGTTTTGGTAGTTTTATTTTACATGTTTTAAAACGTAATTATAAAGAAATCTTAAAATTAAGTTTCTGGATTAAATTATTGTTTTTAAAAATTTTTGCTTAGTTATTATTTTGGGGGTAAGAAATTTAAGTGTAAATTTTATATTCACAATATAATGCCTAAAACTATTGTATGTTATCTTTTGCTGTTTAATGTGAATATTTTTATTATATTTTGAATATGCAATATTTTTAATAATTTATTGAAACATATTTTTGGAGAAATAATTATGGAGTTGATGAGAAATATAGTGATTATCTCACATTTTTTTAACTTTAATAAAAAGAATAATGTAACTTTTTCAGTTATTAAATCCACATTTTCATTTTTCATAAACTGATTATTCTTTATCATTAAAACTATTAGAATATTGTATACATTCAAGCTGATTTTCATTGTGTAGATGTTTATTTAAATGCAGATTAATAATTACAACAGATTTTAGAACCCATGTAAATAATTTTAAAAATTCTTAGTTCATAGTATATTTTTAAGACAGAAAAGGAATGCCTGAAAAACTTGTTATTCATGTAGTTTATTTGCTCTGGACCAACAGCAGAGTCCCCCCCCCCAAAAAAAAGTCATTGTTGCAGTTAGGTGGGTGCTTTACAATGTTCTCTTATGTTGTGGGGGGTGGAAAGAGAAGAAAATCTAATTTTTGTATAAACCATTAATGATACCGTTTTTAAAATTCTTGGTATTATTTGTATTGACTTTTAGGCTGCCTAGTATTACCATTGTGCAATTCTTTTCAGTTATGGAAAATTGAACTTGAAGTCAGAAAGAAATATAAACAACAATTGAGGTAGAGAATGAAAACATAATTCTTAAATACTCTGAAAAAAACTGAATTAAATAAAGATAACTTTCTTTACATGGTAGTACATTGTTCAGCATGTGTTTCAAGTGTATTCATAATCTTAATAGTAGATCTCTCAGAACATGATACCTGAAAAATTTTTTCATTGGAAAATTATTTTTAAATAAAACATCAATTGTACTGGTGATATGCATCATTCTTTTCAGGTCTTAGATAAGAAACCAGAAGACTGGATCTTGCAGTACAAAGATGCTACGGAATCTGCTGAAACACAAGATAGTGTTGAAAATAGTTAAATATGTGGTTAATCTTTTTATTATTTCTATCACATTCTTAATGCAGTTCAAAAATATGTGTCATTCTCATAGTCAAATATTTATTTAAATAAAGTTGTATAAAAATTCAAAAATAAATCTTTATATCTCGTTGTGTTATCGTACTCTGCTTACAAAATATAAGTTAAGAGAAATAGGATGTTTTAAAATTATTCATTTATTGTATTGAATAAGATTGAGTTAAAATAACTCTCAAGTTAAGTTGTGTGTGGTAATGAAATAAATTTGATAGTTTAAAACACTTTAAAATGTTACATTTAAGTGGCATCTGGTTTTGCTCTTGCTTTCATTTTTTTGCTCAGAAAAGTCATGAAGGCCTGTATTTAAACAGCATTTATTAACTAAAATTTGTATATTCAATCTCTATTTTCATTAACTTCTTAAAATATCTTAAATTATAAGCTAATATGTGCCAAGTGACAAAAAAATCTTATGACTGGTTATAGCTGTTCTTACTGGAGGAGTTAAGATGGGTAAGTTGTGTTATGTTGTTATTAGTCTTATGTGCTTGAACACCATATAGGTGACAGCACAACTTTACCTCAATTCCACCTCCAAATTTGAGAGAAATCACATGGGGAGGAGGGTCTCCCACCCCTCTTCCTCTAATACCAACCTCTCAAAGACTTTTGGCATGCCACATATTTCCAGTGCCATAGTGCCCTTTTGTATGGCACTAATTAATCACTATTCAGATTGGACAGCTGACTACAGTTATATTCCATTAATATATCAGCACCCAGTATATACTGATTATAATTACATTGTTCCATATATAAAGCTTTCTTTTCCCTTCCCTGTAAGTTTTTGGCATTAATATGTCAATACCCAATAGGTATCCTTTATAATTACATTGTTCTCCATATAAAGTTCTCCCCTTCCTTATAAGTTTCTGGAATTAATACAAGATAACCAAAAAAGTTCTTGCTGTTTCTGATATGACATTGAAAGAGTAAATCCCAACATAAAAATAGTTGCCAAACCTGGTAGTGAAGTGATTAGGATGGGAGTCCAGACACTGACCAAGAGTATAAAAGCTTGTTACATGAGTACTTCAAACATAACATAACTTACACACCAACTGATTGAAATGGACATGTCAAAGGTGCTCGTTTGGAGTTGTTTGCTGCATGATTTTAAAGTGAGCCTGTCAGCAGCAGAATTAAGTTGCTGAATTTACCAGGCCTTTGGGGATGGTGCCATTAACGGACAAACCACTAGGCAATGGCTCCAGAAGCTCAGTTCAGGGGATATGTCTCTTTAGTGATGCACCACAGAGTGGTCAACCACAAGCGTAGGACGGTGAGGCCCTGAGAGCAGCCATAGAGAATGACAGTAGCCAAACATGTGGTGAGCTTGCTGCACACTTCCAGGTATCTGATGAAACAATCAGACTCCATTTGCATCGCATAGAAAAGCTTGTATAGAAAAGGCATACAAGCTGAGCAAGTGGGTACCCCCCTCACTGTCAAACAAGCAACAGCTTGTTGCTGCCGTTTGGTCATTGCTTATGAGGCACCACAATGCATCCATATTTGATAGAGTACTCACCAGCAATGAAAAGTGGGTCCAGTATGACACATCCAGGTGTTCCAGACATGGGTTGTCACCACGGCCCTGTACCTCACTCTGCGAGACCTTTATCCACCCACGCAAGATCATGCTCTGTATCTGGTGGACTAATCACCAAGTGATGCACTATGAACTCCTGCCAGTAGGCCAAACCATCACAGAAAACCTGTACTCGCAGCAGTTGGAACATGTGCATCATGCACTTTACAAATGAAAAACTAACTATTAAACTTTGAACGGCTGTCGATCTTTTAAAATCGCTAAAAATTTTTAGCTATCACAGCGAGAATTATTTGACGATTATGAGATTAAGGCAAATGAGAAAACCGATACCAAATACAGTGATAAAAATCAGCGTGTGCAAAGAAGGCATCACGATGACGGATCTTCAGAAGCTGTAATCAAAGGAAGAGATAAGTTAAAGATTGAAACTTATTTGCCTGTACTAGACATGCTGTATGCAGAATTGTCGCAGTGACTAGATGCTTATCGGAAAATTAATTCTCTGTTTGAATTTCTAAAAGATTTCATGACAAAGACCAACGATGAAATTAAAAAGGCTTGTACAAAATTTAGTGAACATTATTTCGAGAACATTGAGCCCGAGTTTATAAACGAGATAGTGCAGTTCAAGTACTTCATCTTACAATTAGACAATGCGGGGAAGATAAAATTGTACCTGCCGAGGAATCGTTTATGGTACATTCAACATTCCCAAATGTAAAGACAGCATTGCAAATATATAGAAGTCTGATGACATCAAATGCAACAGGTGAACGTAACTTTTCAAAATTAAAACTAATAAAAATCAAGATAATACCTTACCCCATTAAATTAATAAACATTACATTTAGTAAACATTTTCTGTGAAAAAAGAACATTATCATTTACAGAATAACTTATCGTAAAATAAAACAGAGTGTCAATCAATTAAGTCCATTACATAATGGTGGTCTACCATTTTGTTATTGCACATTTCTGCTAGTTATCAGCTTCAAAAACGTGAACTGGCTATGAGTAACTGTCTCCCTGTAAGCATTTTCTTTTTTATATGCCTCCTTCTTCCTTTTACTGTCAGAGTTCATAGACATTTTCAGCATCACATGTGTGTAATTGCTGATGATCTTAAAGATATGAAAGAAGTCTCTCTAAGTCTTGAAAGCATGCAAGAACACCATACAAATTTACAAAACAGTAGGTGCAGGCAAATCTCTACCTGGCATAATAAATTTCCAGAAAAGAAATATTTTAAAACTTGTGTTGATTACCTAGGCTTAGAATGAAAACTGAATGCATTTTATAAGGTTATAAAAAATGCTGGAATTAAAAAAGGAGTAATACTTCCTTTTTTTTCCTCTTTAAATCTTCACTTCAATTAAAAATAAAATTTAGTCATTTCGATATGTTCTGAACAGCTTTTAAGTAACCCATTTATAATCCCAACTTTTTTTTTTTTAATAATCTTGTATTTTTACTTCATTTTATTCCAGAAACTTGATAATATAAATTAAATCATACTGATGTAAAAGGAGAAGTCAAAGATCCAAATTTAAAAATATTTTGTCAATATATATAAAAACTTAAAATTACATTTTAAAAAACTTTTAAATCTTAATATCCATTTAGTAAAGTTAAAAATCGGCTCATAAATGAAAAATGTCTGCATTTGTTTTTTCATTTATTTTGAGTGTAAAGTGGTACAAATAGAAAAATATTGTATTGAAAAAACAAATTGCTGTTTGAACAAAGAAATATATAGAAAAGATTTCAATCTTTATATTATTGCAAAACTTTATCAGTAACAATAGATTTTGCTGTTAGCTAGTGTACAGAAGTATTATAAATTTTACACTTGACAGACTGTACAGTGTTAGAAACATTTTATTTTTTAATTAATAGTATAAAAAACTATTACAACTTTTACCAAGGTATTAGTAAAGAAACAGACCACGTGCAAAAAACTGATTTATTGAGTACCAAAGTTTGATTATATCCTAAAGATTATTTATTTATCAATAATCTTGCAATTTCAGGAAATCATAAATATACATTAAACAATTCATCTTTTTGGTTTTTTTAATCTTTCATAACATATGCTTTACTCAAATTTTGTCTGCTACTTTCAAATGAAAAATACAGTTCAGTCCTTGATTATTCTGCCTTTTTACATAATATTAGGTGTTAATACCAATGGATAATACTTCATAACTGAATAAAGCTGCACATAGACAAAATAATTATCAATTTCTTACATATTTCTTTAATGAGAATTTCAAAAATGATCTCTTGAACATCAGAACAATATTCAACAATCCACCATTAGCACAACTGAAATTTGTTTACATATTTATAGTACTTAACATTTGGGAAATTCCTATGAAATATCAATTTCATTAAATGAGGAATTTATTTGTTTACATTATTAGTTGAAAATTTTTTTGAATAATTTATCTTTTTATAAAGAGAAATGGAGTTGCATTTGTTGTTGTTTTTTCCACATTACATAGAACAATAGTTGCCATAACCTACATCAATGAGAGGTTGGACTTCTATTTTCTCCCCAATTTTGAGAAACAGTACCACGGGGGGATCTAGAGGCTTCGCCTCTCTCCTCTTCAACCAAACCACATCAAGGAGTGCCACACCGACACTATACATTTTCGAACCCAGACACTTTGGTACCGCAGTAGAAATCCCCTAACCACTATACTGTCTGGATGACTGGAGATGAATTTAAAAACCAAGAATAATTATGTTATAGTTTATTTTAATATCTGTTGCATTTGTTTTATTTATATATAATGTAAATTATTTTAGTGGTTATATTTAATATGAAACCAAAAGTGATAATTAAATGTAGCTGAAAAATTTCAGCATTCATACGAGTGGTTTTGATGGTAATATCTATATTCAAAAGAAAATTTTTTTTCTTTACTTATATCTTAGCACTGATTTTTAATTAAAACATTAACATTTATCATCTAAAAGGGATTTAAATTGTTAAAAATACCTGTTATTTTCATTGTACACTGTTAAGCAAATTCGAAGCATGTCTACTTCATAACAGAATATGTGAACATGTTTCTTGACAAAACATTGAATTTTATGTACAAATTAAAAATGATATATATACAAAGTATTTTCATTAGCACACATTTTTAAGAACACATTTAACTTTGATCACTAATTTTAATTACAATCTGAAATATGCACACTAATTCATACAATACAAAAGAATTTCTTCTCTTATCATAGCATATAAATAATCTATATCTAATGATATTTATAGCTATATATGATACATACGACATAATTTTTACTGAACATTTAAAACTTTCTTTACAGCTAAAACTACATCCTGTGCTTGAGGTATTGTAAGCGGTTCTAAGCTTTTAGTGTAGGGCATTGGTACATCTGCTCCAGTAACCCGTACCACTGGTGAATCCAAATAATCAAATGCAGGACCTGTAACAATTATATTAATTTAAGATCATAGATCCTACAATATCTTAATATACAAATACTAGACTAACAATTACTTACATTAAAAAGAGTAGTTATATAAATAATGAAATTAATTAGGGTATACAGCAATTTTCTCAAATATTTTAAAAAGTGCACAAAAAATAGTTTAAAAAACATGTTCTACTGTAAATACACTTACTTTCTATAACACGTGCACATATTTCGGAACCAACACCACACTGAGGCCAGCCTTGTTCAACAGTTACCAAATTATGAGTTTTCATAACAGATTCCAATATACATTTTTCATCTAAAGGCCTTAAACTTCTAAGATTAATTACCTAAAATTAAAATATTCTTGAAATTTTTCACATAACAAAAGCATCTGCATACAGTACTTGAAAACAACATTATGTTAATGCAGATAATTCAAAGATTTATAATCACATTCTGAACCCATAAAATCCCGCCACCACCCCAAAAAGTGTCAATCAGTAAATATTTAGTTAAAATATTTTGGAACCAAATCTGTAAGTACAGTATTCTTAAAATACTTTGAAAATAAATTTAACCTCCATTAATCAGTAAATTATCCTTTAGATGACATTGAAAGTAGAAATAATTTCATATTTTTGTCCCTTTACAAATTTCTACCATTATAGTTGGAGCACATTTTTTAATTGAAGAAGCTTTAGCGATACAGATATATTAATTTAAGTTTATCCCATTATCTTAATAATATAGATTCCTTTTGCTAATAATTTCAGTCTATATTCTTGATCAATAGTCCTCGTAGAGCTTTGATAATTCAGAACTCCAGCTGTCGAACTCGCTTATGCTCCTTTTGAGATTTTATAAACGTATGTATTTTAACCCTTTGCGCTCGAGGCGCTTTTTTGTGCACACTGTCCATTCTGAAGGTTCAGTCTCTTCTATAAAATCACTGCATACAGTAGTGGCTTCCAGATTCACTATCGATTATTCGGATTTTTCGTCTTCTTGCTCCTCTACTGTCATCACTATCTTTATCACTTCCGTCTTCGTTCTCATGGGCAAGCTGTCTATGTAGTGATGTAATTCCGTTCGTTATAACCAAAAAATTAAACTCATCTTCGCTAGAAGTAACTTCTTCGTCGTGTTCCATACTTATTGGGCTCAGTAACTTTGAAAGAAATACTGCAATCGGCAAGAATGTTGAGTTTGAACTGATGTCGAAGACAGAGTCCTACCCGCCGTCGCAAGAATTTTCGAGATAAGACATTTAATCGCATGAGCATCGCAAAGACAACCTTTATTTGAGATAAGACATCCTTATAGCTCCTCACAATATGATCTACAAAAGGCCAAGTAGATCTCTCAAGCGATATTTCTTAGGTCAAACACAAATAAACACATCGATTCGAATGGTGCCTCTCAGGCACCGCTTGAGTTATCGCATCACATGCAGTGGTGCCTGAGAGGCACCACTCGAGTGCAAAGGGTTAAATTTTTTATCAATTTAAGTAATTGCAAAAAGGCAAAATAATATACTGTAAATTTTGATACCCTTTAGATCATAAATACTTCATTATTTCATAAATCATGATTTCATATTTTTAATTTTATAATTTCTACATGCCATCGTACTAGATTTAAATTGATCTAATATCCAGAATCGCCAAAGTTTCGACGAGTCCGGATTTCGGACTTTGTAAATCGGAATTTTTAAGGTTTCTTTTCTTATTCTGATAATTATACCCTCTCTACAGATTACAGTTACCTGAGTATAACAAAAAGGTTTTCATTGAATATACACAATTTCTAATTGTGTATATTTAATAAAAACCCACATATTATGTTTGTCAATACAATGAATCATTTCTTCAACAACTAAATCTTACCTTTCTGTAATAATTTTTAGAATATGTTACCTGGACAAGTCCTTTTAATTCAGATTCTAGTTTTCACTTTTGTTTTCATGTTTTAGTTTTTTTCAACATTTTATGCTTTTAAATAATAAATACAATTACATTCATGTTCTCTAACTTATTTCTACATTATAAGTGGATTCTTTTATACAGGGTTATTCTCAAAGAAATGGTTTCAATAATTTATATACTTAGTGAAAAAAATTGTATGCATTATTCTGATATCCCAAGGCTTGATAATATAGGTCAGTATTTCTCAATCTGAGGTACACTGCAAAAAAAAAGGGGGGCATTTCCATATCTCCCGTTCTAGTGGGCGGATCGACGAAATTCAACTTGTGTTTATCATGTCTTGAAAGCACTACTTAGGATATGTATTAGACTTATATATATATATATATATACATCATTTTTCTAATATAGGTTTTTTAACACAAAATCAGACTTTTTCTGAAATGACATGCCAATGTTTTTCCATATTATCATTTCTACAACTGAAATTATGTTAAACTGCAAAGTTTTGCAAAAATCGCAAGGGTAGTTTTTAAAAAATTAGCTCTTTAAATTTTGGCTCCTCAATGTTAATTGAATTTGATATATATTTATTATTATCTTATTTCATTCTTGCTTTCATATTTCGTTTTTAGGTTCATTCCAAATAAAAATCGTCCATTTTATAAATTTTTTGAAAAAGATTTTTCATTAGAACCTATAAAATTTTTAACATTATCTAAAAGTAAATGTATTTCTAAGTATACCTGTAAAAAATTAAGAGTTTTTTTATTCAAAATTTCCTAAGATATACATGAATTTACATTTTAGCAAATTTTGAACTTATATAACATTATTTGACATATTTATCATAAGCGATAATAATAAAAATGTGGTTTGCAGACTTTGTTAAAATTATTTGAAAGTATGAAACATAACCTTTTTTCCCACTCGTTGACAATGACAAAAAGGAAAGGAAAATAGGTTGCTATAAATAAAGAAGTTTGCCAAGTGAATTATTCTTGGCTCAAACTGAAAAAAAAAGTGCAAAGATAATTTTTTAAATTTCTCACCAAAAATTGCAAAATTTAATATCTAGGCATAATTTGAATCATAGAATCGAAATATGGAAAAAATTGGTATGTTATTTCAAAAAAGTCTGATTTTGTGTAAAAATACCTATGTTAGAGCAATGCTATATATAAATCTAATATATATCCTAAGTCACCCTTTAGAGACGAAAAAAACATGCAGTTTGAGTGCAAACTAAAAGTTCAGTGCATAGGTCTCATTCTTTAACGATTGTAGGCTTATATTCAACAATTTTTGCATCATTTTTTATTTGTAAATATAAACTTCGTACAATATTTAATAGCCCGTGCAGTTTATATATTTATTGTGTAATAAAAAATCAGTTTTTGAATAACATGTATAGTTGTCACAAATAAAAATCTTAGAAAATATAATCATATGATTCAACAGGACAATGGTGAAATAATTCTTAAATTACATAACTAAAATAAAAATTAAATTTATTTTCAAATATTGTACCACAGAATATCCATTTGCACTATATTTTATAAAATGTACTATAATTAATTTACTGGTCATATTATAACAGGCTTCAATAAAGTTGCCAACATTGCTTTGCTTCTCCATTTTTTTTTAAACGTGGATCAGTGGTTAAAATTTGATACCATAAAGAAAAGAAAAATTACTAAATTAATTACTGATGCCATTCCATCATTGAGTACCAGTTTTTTTTTTTTTTTTTTAGGAGCAATGTAAGGAGGAGTGAGACATATTACTGAAATGAAGCTCCTGATTCCAGTTTCGCAACCAGAAGAAGTGAGAAAATATTACTAAGAATATTTGTCATATGTATTTTCATTCATATTATTAAGAAACTCCTTAGACTTGAATGTGTTATTTTTAGAGAAGTACTGTCTAACAGCAGTATCAAGCTTTCACTACATTTTGTCATTTGCAAAACTAACACTCAGATTTTTTAAAGCCTACATCCGACTTTTTTTATATTTGTTTGAAAATAATAATAAGTGCAATATAGTTATGTGGTTCTGGTTGTTTCAATGAAGATACCGTTGAAGCTTCCTACTACAACAGTCACCATACTGCCAGAATGGCAAAAATTACACATTTTTTTGAAAATTTGATTTTGCAAACTTAATTAAAGATACAGTTTTTTGTATGTTCAGTAATAAGTATGTTCACAAAATTAATTCTATCCCTCTGTCCAATGACAGTCTTTCGTAAAATCAAAGAATTTTCTGATTAACATGTAGGAGATGATGCTGAAAGAAATCAGTAGCAGCAAATATATATATATATTTCAAGCTGATGAGCGCTTTGATGTAGTATTTTCTATTTTGACAGTTATTGTAAGGTACTTGAAATGTATTTGAAGAAGGGATTGTGCTTTGTCATTTTTTTTTCTAAATACACAACAGGTGTAGATATTTTTCAAGCTCTTTTGATTCTTTACTAAAAAGATAAAATGGTTAGAGTACTGTGGTTTAAGCACTGACTTACTGACGGTGGCAAGACTATGTCAGATTGTTACCGGGGTTTCCTCCCATGTGTCAAAGCAGCAGCTCCCTCAGCAACATGAACATATTCTTGCAGCCATTGATAAGCTTCAACATCAAAGCCCCTTCCTAATGGTATGAAAGACATTTCGGATGATTCTGTAAAAGTGGTCAGGTCCAAAAAAAAAAAAAAAAAAAAAAAAAAAAAAAAAAAAAAAAAAAAAAAAAAAAAAAAATGAAAGTTTTCAGATTTTAAATTACATCCACGCGATACACTCGACAATACACAAGAGTATAGATCTCGACTCAGCACAGTCTAAGACAAAACTCGACGATGCACTAAAAGACTCTCTCGATGCACTCGACGACCAACTCGGTGCTAGACTTCGAGTCACTCACTCAATGACTGACTATCAGCTTGCTAGACAAAGCACACACTAACTGACTGCGGACCAGCAGGGTTTATATAGCTTTCGGCTTGTGTTCGAGAACATTCTGGGCTAAACTGGTAAGAATTCGTTCCAGAAGGTTCTTCATCCATCCATGGTATATCGCCAATTTCGTGGCCAAATGAGCAATTTCTTGCCAAATGTGGCAACCCTGCCTTCCCTTGCCATTTTTATGCCAACCTTAAAACTGCTTTCTGGGGAAGCCATCTCACTGTGCCCTTGACATTTCGTAAAACTGCCCCCTCTCGAGGACTGCACGTCCCGGGAAGTACAACCATTGGTCAGAAGCCAAATTCGATACAAACAAAACATAATAAAACAAACAAATAACATAACTAAAGAAACAAATACAGTCAAAAGTCGTTAATCCGGACTCGTCAGGAGTTCGGCGATTCCGGATTATCGATTTTTCCGGATTATAGATCATCAGTTTAAATCTCATAAGATGGCATGCAGAAATTCTAAAATTAAAAATATGAAACCATAATTTATGAAATAAAGAACAATTATGATCTAAAGGGTATCAAAATTTACAAAAAAAAAAAAAAAAAAAAAAAAAAAAAAAAAAAAAAAAAGCAGCTTAATATTTGTTTACTTTATTAAACATTTCTTTTAATGTAAGTTGTTTAAGTTGCTTCGTTTTATGTGATAATACTTAGAATATAAACAGACATAATTTCTTGTTCAGTTACAAAGTTCCGCTGTTCAAGTTCCGTAATTGCTGTGCCGAGAATACCGACTAACTTGTCAATCGAAATTTTTTAGTTTTCACTAACCTTTCTGTCACCCACCTTCATGTCTTTATCCACTTTTTGTTTGATGGACATCGAAATATACTTTCATTTTGTAGATCCTTTGGGAGCTCCAGCATCAGAAATTCTATTTGATATAATCGAAAGTCCAAGTTTACTTTTATAAAATTGCTCTTACAGTCTGCAAAAAATAATAAGCCGGATCCAATTCGAAGATTAAGGAACAATGCAATCATCAACATTAACTGGAATAGATAATTAGATAATTTTAGCATATACCGTTCGTTATACATAAAACGCGCATGCGAAAACGTATTCTGCGCTTGCGTACACGCATATGCGCAGTCGTAAAAATCTTACGCGCACGCATAAACGCCTATGCACAGAAAGTTTTTAGCTTTGAGGTCCGAATTAACGACTTTTGGCTGTATATACACTATTTACAAATTAGATACACAAATTAAACACATCACAATTTTAAAAGAAACAAAATATTTACACTATGTTCAAATTATATACACAAATTAAACACATCACAATTTTAAATTATACAAATTAAAGTTAAGAATGAATTTCAGTCTCATTCTTTTCACTAAAATATACCCGGGTTTTCTACTGCAATTCTCAGATATATTTATGTTTTGCATATCACAGTCTGAAGATTCAGTTCTTTGCAACTTTCCATCCACAGAAAGATCTGAAACAGTTTGTTCATTACTCTGCAGTTCATTCGCAGCATGCATACAGTTCACCTCGGTATTTTTAGCAGCTGGTATATGCTTATTTTCCTCCGTTTCCTGGGAACTAGCTCCAAATTTTGCATCAGAGTCATGAAGCGGAAACGATTCTTCATAAACACAAGTATCCAGGTTTAGAAATCAAGTTCTTGTGCTGCGCAATCAGCACTATGAGAAACACACATAATTTGCGAGGTGAGTGAGTGGATTTTCTTGCAATACTGGAGCACACGGCTTAAGCTGAACATTCAACTTCTTCCCATCTCTGCATCAATCACATGCACTTTCAGATGGTTCAAGACCCTTGCTGAGTGCGTTTTCAAAACTTCACTATCAGTTTTGACGAAGTTAACAGTCGCATTTTCATTTTCTTCCACTTCAAGCACTTGAGAAACAAAAGCTTCTTTCCTGTCTTTTATGTTCTTCATGTTTTCGTTTTCTTTAATCCCGTTAGATGTTTCATCCGATCATTTCTGGATCTTTCTCAGGCAGTTCGTTAGCTACTTCTTTCATTTCTTCATCCTTGGATTCTCCAGATGCCACTACTGTCATTTTCACATCTTCTTTTATGGCTCCAGTTTCTTCTGCAAGCTCCACTTTCAGCGGTTGGAGTTGTTCTTGCACCTTTCCTTGGCCGACATTTATTTCTTCTCACCGGCTTTCTTATCTTCCAGTCCCGCTTTTATCTCAGCTGTCATCTCATCATATCCAACTTTTATCTCAGCCAGTCCGGCTTTCATTTCAGCCTTCATCTCAGCCCTCATCGTAATATATCCGGCTTTTATCTCACTAAAATGTCCATCAAAGTCTTAATTTCTTCTGCCATGGCTTTCCTCTGCAGGCGGGTCACTGGCATTGACTCACAAATCTCACTTCTGACACCAGTTGTTGCGTTTTTCTTTTCTGACACCAGTTGTTACGTTATTTTCTTCCTTCATGTTCGTACGGGGTTCCCAAATTTGGAGTGAATAATGACGACACTTGATGAAGTATCGAAACACACTTTATTTAGACAATATTAATCAGATAGCATCAAAAATCACTTTGTCGTCGAACTGTTATAAACACGCTGACACACTCAGCGACACAGCCTTCACACTGTCAGGCAATAACGGTGGACACAGCTTCACTGCAAAGCACTCGAGTACAGCTCCCAACTCTGCTTGGTCATTCTCGGAACTCCACGTACTCTCGAGACTCTCCATGCGATGCACTCGACGATACACAAGAGTATAGATCTCGACTCAGCACAGTCTAAGACAAAACTCGACGATGCACTAAAAGACTCTCTCGATGCACTCGACGACCAACTCGGTGCTAGACTTCGAGTCACTCACTCAATGACTGACTATCAGCTTGCTAGACAAAGCACACACTAACTGACTGCGAACCAGCAGGGTTTATATAGCTTTCGGCTTGTGTTTGAGAACATTCTGGGCTAAACTGGTAAGAATTTGTTCCAGAAGGTTCTCCATCCGTCCATGGTATATCGCCAATTTCGTGGCCAAATGGGCGATTTCTTGCCAAATGTGGCAACCCTGCCTTCCCTTGCCATTTTTATGGCAACCCTAAAACTGCTTTGCGGAGGAAGCCATCTCACTGCGCCTTGACATTTCATAACAATATGATTATCGGACTCCGTTCCCTTTCAGTGAAAGGTATTTCCAGTATGCATCTTTATCAGTCTGAGAAAAAATTAAGTTTATTGATCTGAAAACAGATTCTTCACTTGAAACTGAAATTTGAAAAGAAATCCCCCACCTTATTCTGGACTGACATTAAAGAAGAATTTCCTGAATATTCCACAATACAACCACTATTTCATTTCAGAATTTTTCACGGCTCTTTTGTCTTAAATAAACTTTTCAAATTGTATTATGTCTTTTATAATGACTGTTTATAATTAACTTTTTAACTCAACATCATATGCTCCTTCCTTGTCTGTTTAGTTCATTGTTTTTGTGTGGCATAGCAATAACCTTTAATTTCCTTTAAATATAGGTACATATTGATGCCTGAGTAGCTGCTGAGAATAAATTTATTCTAAAAATCTATAAATTAAATGTTAAACATTTAGGCATTTAGGAAAGTTAAATATTTATAGTAGCATATAACAGACTAAATAATTTACCTCACAATCTATGCCACTGCTGGACAATTCTTTAGCAGCTTCTAAACATGTTCCTACCGCTTTTGAATGTGCAACTAAAGTTATATGCTGACCTAAAAAGTATAAAAATATATAACGTAAATAAAATTAAAAAATTTTAATACAGCTAAAAAATATTTCAGTGTTTTTCTCAAAAGAATATTTCACAGAACTATAAGTGTATAAAATAATTATTTTTCTTTTTGGGTTAATGATTCAAAAAATTAATTCTATCATTATTGTGAAAAAATATTTTGTACATTTTTATATAATTTAGGAACACTTTATAGTTACATGTTATGTATTATTTAATGAAACTAGTCATTATGCCTAAGTGATACTATGAATCAAATTAATTTTAATATTAAACAAAAAAATGCTAATATACTCGAGTATACTTACAACAGAAGAAATTTTCAATATTTATTAAATTAGGTTTTAGAATTATATTTCTTTGCAGCTTATGCAATATTGTAGTGTCTCCAATCCTATGAGTAACATATTTTATAAATTAAATGGCAACAACTGCTGGCCACCGTAAATGCAACACCCTGAAGAAAAGCATGCAAATGATTAGAATTTCAGCACAGACGCACATCACACACTCCTGTGGCGCCACTTCAAAGCGGTATTTAAGGTTTGGAGTTTTCGACGATTTCAAGTTCGGCAATTGTGTTTTTCTTGTGGTTTTTTTCAAAAAAAAAAATGATCAATTATGCTTCGTAGCGATCATCATTTGATCAAATATCAGAGTTTGACAGAGGAAGGATGGTGGCCTACCGAGAGTGTAGATTATCTTTCAGGGAAATCGGTAGTCGTGTTGGACGAAACCAAGCAACTGTAATGTGAATATGCGACCGTTGGATGCAGGAGGGTACGACGGACCGACGTGTTCGATCGCATCCACCTCAGTGCACTACTTCACGTGATGGCAGGAACATTGTGCGCATGGCAGTGACGGATCGCTCAGTCACATCACAAACCATAGCACAGCACATTCAGTCTGTAATGCATTGTCCAGTGTCTGCGCGTACCATTTGACGGCATTTGTTGAAAATATGACCTATTGTGGCCCTTTTTCTGCATCATCTCTCCTCCTTGAAATAATTCGAACTTTTACATAGGGTTTAATTCTTGTTTTGAAGGTATATGGCAATTGCTTCTTCTTCGTTTTTCACTGCCACTGTTTGCATTGTATGACTGTTCCAGCCTAATTAAGATGCAAAAACGAAATTCGATGTTACATCATTTGGAAAGCTGAGTCGCGCTGACAGCTGACTGGCTGCCGTGAAATGACGTCATGCTTACTTCAGGTATAAGTATCTCACATTGCTTTGGCTTAGTGCTTCTGGTTCCTGTTTCATTGCTCCTTGGTGTGCCATTCCAGCACTCATTGGAAGACGTTACTGCGATGCGTGCCGTCCAGCGATAAGTACCGTGGTTCCAGTCCATGATGATTTTTCCTGGATTCTGCAAAGCGGCAACCTGTTCTATGGTTCGGCAGCGATAAATTCCAAGCTGTGAATTCCGGTGGTCAACTGCCGTGGGCGGCATCCTGTTTCGAAAGTTAAGCGACGTCAAATTCCAAGCTGTGAATTCCAGTGAGCAACTGCCGTGGGCGGCATCCTGTTTCATGAAGGTGGCATCTTTAATGCAAGTGTTTTTCCAAGCTGTGATTTTTCGTGAGCAACTACAATGAATGGCTTTTCCCAGTTCAAGTGCACTCAAGGTTTAGTTTAATTTTTCAGGTGCCTTCTTGACCAAAAGCATGGACCTATTTACAGTGAAGTGAAATTCATATTTAATTGCGTAGTTTTTGTTCTGTGATATGTTTTTTGTGTATTGAATGCCAGTATTCAAAGATCAGGTAATATATTTACTGTATCATTAATAGTGTAATATTCTTTAAAGGAAAAACCCTTGGGGTTAATGAATAGTCAACTAAGTGTAGTTTTTGATAATGATTATGTTACACTCTTTAAGTTTCTGGTATTGATTAAACTTATTTATTATATTTTCATTTTTATATATATTGTTAATAAATTGGTTACGTTTAAAAACTTTTGTCTTCTATGTCTGCACAATATATAATCTTAGGGAGCTTTTATTGCTAATTCTGCTAAATGTTTTTATAACTTTAGGCTTTGCCTTTTGCATCAGCGTTTACAGCAGAGTGGTCTGTCCGCAAGACGTCCATTGCTTCGTCTACCCTTGACACAGAACCACAGACATCTCCGCCGCCAATGATGTGACGAAAGAAGGATGTGGACAGCAGAATGGAATGAAATTTGTCTTTACTGATGAGTCACGCTTCTGTCTGCAACACCATGATGGTCGGATTCGAGTCTGGAGACACTGTGGAGAGAGGATGCTGATCAGCTGCGTTATGAACCGCCACACTGGTCCTGCACCGTGTATTATGGTATGGGGCGGTATTGGATATCACTCTCGCACTCCTCTAATGCATATTGCCGGTACTTTAAACAGCCAGCGCTACATCTCCGAGTTGTTGGAGCCAGTTGTCCTTCCTTACCTTCAGGGCCTGCTCACAGCCATATTTCAACAGGATAATGCACGACCACACATGGCACGCATTGTCCAAGGGTTCTTCGTCAATTGCCAGATTGAATTGCTTCCCTGGACGGCTCGCTCTCCGGATCTTTTACCGATAGAAAACATGTGGTCCATGGCTGCTGAATGATTGACCCATATTACATCCCAAGCTGCCACACCAGATCAACTTTGCCAGCGTGTGGAAGCTGCTTGGTCTGTTGTACTCCAAGACACATCCAAAGTCTCTTTGAATCAATGCCGAGGCGTGTGGCAGTGGTGATCTCCAACAATGGCAGCATTCTCTCCAACATGAAGAAAAATAGGTTGAGAGCAACTGAGTTGAAAGAATACAGGATGGATGAGAAATGATATAACAATTCAGTTTAAAATTTATGTGCATTTTAAGCAGTTAAATTCAGAGAATAAATTCATTTGGTTTTTTATATTACATTTAGAACTGGAACACACTTCAAAACAAAAAGAACAAAGTTTTTCTTTATATTACTCTTGAATTTCGATAGTAGTTGATGGGAAAACTGATTATTAAGGGTTATACACTTAAAATAAAGATATTTTATTTCTGGCTACTGATTCTGGAAGGAACCACACTTCACAGAAGTTTATAAATTTAATCATTTGATACTTGGTCAACATGTTATCTACTAAATAAATTTTTTTATGATATCTCGTCTTTCTTGGTGTTGCAATTTGGGTGGCCAGCAGGGTAATTTTACGGGTAGCAGCGCAAAGCAAATGATAGTAGTTTGGAAGGGCGTATATATACATCGGCAGTTAACACATCGGCTGAGCAAGGCGTATATATACGCCCGGGGCAAAGGGTTTAAACAAACTCCAAAATACTAATTCAGAAGTCAAACAACAAAAATCAGCGTTAATTTACAAAATTTTCACACGACTAGTTTCGATGGTTTTACCGAACCATCATCTTCAGCTGCAAAACCGCAAATGAACAAGATAGGAAATAATGTTTAGATAAGATAAGAAAGCCTGGACAAGAATAAGCAAGTGGCGCCATCTGTTGGCGAAACCAGAACTAAAACATAATTTCTCTAAAAGCCGAAGGCAAATTTGGATTGGAATTAGGATCGTTAACTAGAACAGAAAGATTTTTATGAATGTGAAATGCCTCTAGAAAATCCAGTTCTCCAATGGAAGATGTTTTTTGAATAATTTTGGCAGCAGAAAAATTGAAAGTGTGATTTTCGGACCAACAATGTTGAGCAACAGAAGACTTCTGTGTTTCCTTTTTTCTAACATATGCCTCATGTTCTTTGACGCGAAATTTTAAGGCTCTCTTAGTTTGGCCAATGTAAATTAAACCGCACTGGCAAGGAATCCTATAAATACCCCAGGAATTCATATCCGGAATGGGGTCCTTGAGTATAGAAGTTGGAATTTTATTGATGGGAGAGTAAAACAACCCGAAAGTTAAATTTCTGCAAAATATGTGCAACTTTATAACTAATTGATGGAAAGAAGGGAATGACAACAGAATTTTTATAATCTCCTAAAATAAGAGTGTGGTTTTTAGTGTGTTGAGATGAGAATTTTTTAACTGCTTGATTAATAATGTTGGGTGAAAAGCCCCTGTCTATAGCTATTGCTTTTAAATAATTTAGTTCTTCATCAAGGGCTAGTTTGGAGGAGCAAACTTGAAGAGCACGGAAAACATAGGAATAATGTACTTATCTGCCATTAATGGGGCTGTACACATATTATCATCAATTACTGCAAAGAATTCTTCCGATAATACAGAGACTTTCTCAAACATTAAGTGTCGGCTCAGCTTCAATATCCTCCTTCTCCCTTTTTTGGCACCAAAGGATCTGATATTTTTGAGAATCACGCATGACGAAAGCAATTTTCAGTGAATTCCATGCAAAGTGCAACATATGAACCAAACTCACCGATTTTTACTCAAACTGCGATGTACGCATCACCGAATTCCAAAGCAAACTGATGAGAAATGAGATGTTTGTGTGGCGTTTGTAGGGGTGGAAGGTCAAAGTAGCTTAGATAAACAAAACTGGCTCGTGTCACAGGCTATTCCAAGGGTATTTCAAAGCCAACTTATTCTTCTTTCTACAAAACATGTGATACCAGCTCTTTCATTTCACACCCCGCTTAAATCTCGCCTGTGAGGACGGTGTTTTCCGTATTTTGTACAGGTCCAGAAAGGATATCTTTTCATGTTAAGCGATTTTCATTTTGTGTTAAGAGAAACAAAATGCAGGAAAATACATAGCAGTTTGTTGGGACCGTTGTATTGTTTCGTGTTAACCAATATTTTGTCTTAAGCGTTTTCGCATTAAACGTATTTCATTATATAGCAGACTTCCAATTAACAGAGATAATACTAAGAATGAACTCTTATATGATGTGATCAACCTTTCATTTAGCTATAAATAGTTTTAGTTTATGAATATAAAAAAAGAAATTTTTTCAAGTTTTAGCATTTATCAACATTATCTGTATTTTAGCTGTGTAATTTTTACAACATGTTAAAAAATAATATAAATCTAAACACATGTATATATATTTCGGGTTTTGGAAAAGGGGCAAATGATCTTATGGCAGTACCGAAATGGGTACATGAAGAAAAATAGGTTGAGAGCAACTGAGTTGAAAGAACACAGGATGGATAAGAAATGATATTGCAATTCAGTTTAAAATTTATGTGCATTTTAAGCAGTTTAATTCAGAGAATAAATTCATTTGGTTTTTTATATTACATTTAGAACTGGAACACACTTCAAAACAAAAAGAACAAAGTTTTTGTTTATATTATTCTTGAATTTCGATAGTAGTTGATGGGAAAACAGATTATTAAGGGTTATACACTTAAAGGTATTTTTTTTAATTATCCACACTCCCAACAACAACAAAAAAGCACCGATAAGTATTGGAAAACTTTGTGAATTGGAGATAAATGTATATTTGACTATCTTTATACTTCACAGATAAAGTTCCATTAATAAATAAGAAGATGCATTTTATAAAAAACAAAATTTTATAAGAATAAACAAAAACCTATAAGCTGATGTTTACATTTTTACAGCCAATGGATGCTGTTAAGTGATACAACAGCTAAATAAAAAGTGTGTAAATCAATACACATTCAAATACATGTATACTCTGTGCATACATAAGTCAGCTGTAATTGCAATCATGCTAAAAATGTGCCAAAACATGGCATCAAAGGTTGAAACTAGGAGTGTGGATAATCAAAAAGTACTAATTTATTTTTAACAGCTGATTTAATAATGTTGCAAACTATTTGCAACTCAGTTATTCCCTCTTGTATATAAAAATAATTCCAAAATACTGTGACTTCAATCTTCTATCACTGCCGTGCTGTTATGAAACACCATTTCCTTTTCTTCTTTGTATTTTTTGTAAAAATTTTGCTTTATTCCAATGGTTCATGTTGGTAATTTCTCCATCATTCCACAATAAACAAACTTAACTTTTTAAAACAAAATCCAGTTAATGCATCCTTAGCTAAAGAGGGAGTTGGCTCGTTCTCATTACTACATACCTATGCTACTGATGAATGACTAATCTCATAATTTTTAGATGTGGTGAGCAAATTACATATTTAAGATACTTTAGAAAATTCATAAAAAAAGGAAGGCTAAAATAATTTAATACAAACCTGGCTTTTCAATTTTAGCTTTTCCTATGGGTAATGTGAAATCCTTGGACCTAGCTTCATCTGACATTTCAAATGCAACACCATACAATAATTCATTTTCCAGAAATACAACTAAAAATAACATTGATAAGAACATGTAGAAAATCCATTACTAAAATTCAAAGATTCACAGTATAATTTAACTTATTTAAATATAACTAATGTAAAATAAACTATTGAAGTGTCAATATAAAATAAACTCTCAACAATAAATTATAATTTTGATAAAGTCAGAATTCTTTAAATTATTCTAAATTTCGCAAAACGTTAGGATAGCAGAGAAACACACTGAAGTAAAACATAAAATTAGCAAAGCAACAACCTTGTGTTTGCCGTAAGTTTAGTCAAGAACTATATCAATTTCGAGGGCAACCACGTACAGGTTTTCGCTCCTGTAGATGCCTGAAAGACCTATACTTCTAGCCCTAAAAAACTGATAGTCTTGATTAAAATCTATGACAAACATAAGGTTGTCACTTTGTTAATTTTATGTTAGCAGAAAGTTACCTAAAAAGTTCTAAATTTGGACAATTAATTAAAAAAGTACTTTATAATTTAAAGCATGTAAAAGCAATGGTAAGTGTATTATTTTCATACCCAAAATTTTAATTTTTGTATAAATATTTTATATTTATTAATATAAAATGTTAATTTACACATAGGTATACATCTTAAACATATTTTATTAGGAATAGTTATGAATTCTAAACTCGGTTCTTACTATAAACATTTTGTGATATGGCCATAAAGCCACACTTGAGAAGAAAGCTGAATATGATGCAATGAGTAGAAAAAAGATTTATGTTTACTAATGTAATTAACAATTCATATTTTATTTATTTACAATTTTTTATTATGATTTTTTTTTAATTTTATCTTATGAATCAATTATGTAATCAGACCAACCATGAAATAGTAGTATGAAAGAAAATGTGCAGCTTAAATGACATATAAACAGAACATTAAAACTGCCATCATATTCAAAGATATATTTTAATAACTATTCATTATTAATAATACAAAAATTATACAGAGATATTTTATAATTTATAAACCAAACTTACTGATGATCCCCTATAATTACAGAATTGCCTAATGCAGAATGAAAGCTACATCACTGTAGTAATTTAACTTTTTATCCTCACTTTTAGGGAGGAAATAGACATTAAAACAATTTATTACAAGGCGTATTCGGAAACTAAGTACCGTTTTGGAAAAAAAAAAATTGTAAAACAATTTTTCGAATCCAATTTTATTTTTACATGAAAATACACGTCTTAAACTATTTTTCAACATAGTTTCCGCCAATGATCAAACACTTGTCATAGCGGGTGACCAGTTTTTGTATACCATCGTCAAAGAAACTTCCCGCCAGTATCGATAACCACGACTCCACAGCATTTTTCGTGTCATCGTCAGATCCAAAGCACTTGCCACCAAGCTCGCACTTCATGTGCAGGAACAAGTGATAGTCGGACGGCGCCAAGTCCGGGTTGTACGGCGGGTGATCGAACTGCTCCCAATGAAACTGTCGAATTAACGATTGAGGGACGCCAGCAGTATGGGGCCGAGCATTGTCATGGAGCAACACAATTCCTTTACTGAGCATTCCTCTTCGTTTGTTTTGAATGGCACGCCTTAGTTTTGTTAAAGTCTCACAATATCATGCCGCATTAATGGTTTCACCTCTGGGAAGAAATTCAGTAAGCAAAACGCCTTTCCTATCCCAGAAGACAGTGCACAGGATTTTTTGTGATGACATTGTCACTTTGAACTTTTGTTTTTTCGGAGAGTGAGTGTGTCTCCACTCCATCGATTGTTGTTTCGATTCTGGTGTGAAATGACACCCCCAAGTTTCATCACCTGTCACAATTTGGTTTAAAAAGAGTTCTCCCTCATCACTGTACCGCGTGAGAAATGTTAGGGCAGTACCAAGTATCTTTGTTTTGTGAACATCAGTGAGCATTTTTGGAACACAGTTTGCGATAATTCAAGCGGTCAGACACAATTTCGAACAAAACAGTACGTGAAAGAGTTGTCATTGTGAAGCGTCTGATCTCATGAATTGCTTCATCAACTTTCCTTACCAAATCATTGGTGACAACAGAAGGCTCGGCGTGGACATTTGTTTGACCAGCATTAAACATTCTTACCCACTTTCTCACCATTCCATCACTTATCGCGTATTCACCGTAAACTTCTGTCACTTGACGATAAATTTCGGCCGGTTTAACATTCCTCGCATTCAAAAATTTAATCAGGGCACGAATCTCACAGTCAGCGGGAGAACTAATTGTCTTAAACATTTTGAATGTGCACAGCAAACTGAAAACACAACATAGAGCAACCAAAATGGCGACAATTGAAAGTCAGTGAACAAGAAAGACTAGTGCGCATGCGCCTACCACAGCGCTGCGACAGCGCTAGAATGAAACAATACTTAGTTTCCGAATACGCTACATATAAATGGATATATATAAAACATAAACTCTTCAAATTATACAAAACCAGGGTTGCCACTCAAACAGCTGAATGATATTCCCTGACTTTTCCAGGTGTTTTTTAAGAAAATTCCAGTCTACCCGCATAGTGCATGTTGGCTGTGCTAAAACGTAAATTAATTATGACACTAGGAAACACAACTATTTGACAATTACATATAATAGGTTGGCCTTCAAATATTTAAGCTTCAAATATTTCAAATATTACTATTATAACTATAAAGAAGTTGTTTCCTCCAATGAAGACTGAGATTAGAATCTGCCCAATCTGGATTAAAAAATGTATTTTTCTTTCTGCAGCTAAACGAAAGAAAGAAATCTACTTAGATATTTTTAAACAAATTCACATATTTTATATTTATTTAGCAGCACACACAAGCAAGAAATTTGTGCATTCAATTTCGTGACGGTCTGTCATCATACTGCTAGAATTAATTTCAGGAGTATGCCAGAGAAAATTCCCTAAAATCTAAATGTATTGTAGAAACATAAGGTTTTTTTTTTTTTTTAAAAAAAAAAAAAAAAAAGCGGGAGACATGAAAAATTAGGAATGCCCTTGCCGGGACTCAGACCTCTAGAATAAGCGCCAAGTGTGCTGACCATTACACCACGAAGACATGCTAAGAAGGCGGGAGAAATACTTTATAGTATTATTAACTAATAATAAACAAATTTAGAAGGAAGAAGCCAGATTAAATCATATGAATAACAGTAAAGTAAGTTACTTAAAGATTAAAAACTGAATTAAAATAATCAACGATTCTTTGGTGAGTATAATTGTATTAAACAGTTAGCCTAGATGACTGATTACTATTTTTTTATTTTACCGAACAATGACAAATAAAGCATTTATTAAATTCAGAAAAAAAGGTTTAAATGATTTTATGGTAAAATCCTAGTAGGCCTTCGCACAATTTTGAAAATTGTCGCTAACACCAAATTGACCAGTTTACTTTAAATGTCCGGTTTACTGCTCATCATAACGTTGCCAAATCTCATGTGTACTGTATACTAGGATTAAACTGATTTTGTTTTATATGAGAATGGGAAGGTATTTTTTTTTCATTCAACATGCACTGCACATGCACATGCGAGTCTCTCGATTCTCGATGTTACTAGAAACCAAGGTTGCTGGAAACATGCTATGAATTTCTAAAAGACAATCTGATTGGAACTACAAAAATTGGCTCTAAGCTAGCTGCCCAAATGATGCTCATGCGATACATAATTCGCCAAGAAAGTGATTGCTTCCAACACTGGCGTAAAACTCGCTTTGGGAGGGGGGATCATCATATGAAATTCCCTGACATTTCCAGATTTTGACTAAAATATTAAATTCCCTGATTTCTCCCTGACGTTTCAGTCAATTTTCATATTCCCTGACTTTTCCTGGTTTCTCAGATAGCATGGCAACCCAGCGAAACTTATCTAAATAGTTTTACAACTGCAACAGTAAAATGAAAGATACTGCTATTATTATTACTATAATACATATGAGAGAAAATTCATAAAACATTGTTAATTTGATGTGACATTGTGCATATTACTTGCATATTTTAAGAACATAACTTACTAAATGCTTCAAAATATTCTCAAAATAATTTCACTTATTTTTGCAAATTAGAATGTCAATAGAAATTTATTAGAAATACAAAATATGCCTGAAGATAAAAACTCAAATTTATAATCAATTCAGATATTTAGAACACATTTCAATGTAATATTTAACAATTGTTATTCAATACAAGTGCTTAAATTTAAATGCAGTGCACTCAACATGGTTCTAGTAATTCTTTGTATCAATATAATTCTTGCTGCCAACTTCCTCTTTGCTTTATATATAAATGATTTAATATCAAATGAAACCATACATTATATATTTTTTAAAAAAATACTAAAAAGTTAGTATTGAGGGCTATTTAACTAATTAAAGTAACTGTTCAGCATTTATTTATAATATTTAAATTTTAAAAAATAAATATAATTAGGTAAATACAAATGTAGAAAAGCTGTCAGGTAAGTAGTATACTGCTTATGATACAACTTAAAGGAATTCCATTTTCTAATGATACATTAATAAATTATGCCTTAATTAAAATAATCACAATTAAATGTGACATGAAATCTTAACCTAATAATATCATGAAAAGTATACTATGCTTGTATATTATAAAAAATTAAAATATTAAAAAATATTTAAATTTCTTGTTATCTTTCATACACCAAGCTCTGGATGTCCAGAAAGACCTAACTCAAAGCCAATCATTGTTTTTAGAGGGGTCAGGATTTGTTATGTGTTTTATGTATGTGCATTTGGTATTTTTCCCCCTCATAACAAATCATATGGAGAGTTTGATTCTTAATTTTACTTCAGCAGTAAATAAAATTCCTCATTATTAAAGAAGCAAACATTTTAGCATAAATTTGTGTGATCAATAATTTGGCTCCATAGCTGAGTATCTGCCTGGTTTCAAACCGAAACATTCTAGTAGAAAAATTGTTGATTTTACACCTACTAATATTTTATATCTCTGACGCCAACCTGAATCATTATTTATATTTTGCTTTCATTGCCACATGTTTATCAACACATGACACATGACAACTTGAGTAGTGACTCATGCAGCAATAGCTAAATACTTTTTTTTATAATAGTATTGAATAACAAAGAGTATGCTATTTTTTTATATTGGCATTACACTTGCGATCATTAGAGATTTAAGTCAAATGCGGTAAGAAATGTTGATGAGGAAAAAATTAACAAAAATTTCTTTCCATATGCCAAAAGTAGATTTTGTTAAGGATACTCAGAGGCCAAAAGATTACATTTAGTGCTATTTGAATTAAGAATAACTGATTTGTTTATTCACTTAAACCCAGAACCGGCACCACAGGTTGTATGGCAGCACCAGACAATACAATATTAACGGAAGACAATTTTGGGGAAATTTACAGAAGCACCAAGCAACAAAATTAAAGGATGACAAAATTTTTAGAATTTGAGAATGCACTAAGGCCCAAAATTTAGGGATGGCAAAATTTCAGAACTTAAGGTGTTTGGTAATAGAATTTAGGACCCACAGAGACTGCATCAGGGGGGAAAATATCTAGTACGGTCCTCGAAAAGCCTTAAGTATATGTGGGAATTTATTTACTCAGGACTCAGATAAAACTTAAACATGTGCAAAAAATAGATGTAAGTAAAATAAATAACTAATTTAATACAATTCAGACTTAATTGTCTCAGTGCACATTAAAAGCGAGACAAAATTTAGCGTAAGAACTTGTCTTTCGACGCCAATCTCATGATACATAGCCAGTAATGTATAGTGGATGTTATTAAAGTAGGCTAAAATTATACTTTACCCAATTTCACGAAATTTCAGTTAATATAGCAGATAGCACTGTTCCTTAACTTTCTGATTTTTCAGTTAATATTGTAGATTGTGTTGTTCGTTAACTTTCTGAATTAATCCGTCTTATTATTTTTTACAGGCTATTATTGCTAAATCAGTTTCATGAAAATTAAAGTTTGAACTTTCGATTATGTCAAAAAGAGTTTCTATTTCTGGAGCTGCAACAGGATCCACTAAGCGAAAGCACGTTCTGATGTTCATTAAATAAAAAGTGAAACTGCTGCAAAAAATGGCTACAGGTATATCCATCTCAAAATTACACGAGGTGTATAGCATTGGAAAGTCAACTGTATACGACACAACAGAAAAGGAAGTTCTTGAATTTTTCGGATTCCGACACCCCACTCGCAATGAATAACTAAAAAATTATTTGTTATCTAAGAGTGACGATCATGAAAAAAGGATGATTGAATGAGTCAGACAGAGTCACGGCGAGGGCATGCCACTGACAGGTCCAACGCTAATGTCTCAAGCCAAAGTATTTCATGAAGAAATGAACTTAAAAAATTAGTGCACATATTCGAAAGGTTGGTTAGCCAAATTCAAAATTTGTCATGGTATAAGGCAATTAAAAATTTCTGGTGAAAACACTTCAGCTAATACTGAAGGTGCTGAACTATTTGCAGATGAGCTCGTTGAATAGTGAAAAGTTATCTCCAGAAAAAATTTACAATGCTGATGAAACTGGTCTTTAATGTAATATGTACCACGAAATATCTTGGTGAGCTCTACAGAAAACGTTCCAACAAATGTAAAAAATTCCAAAGCGAGACTAACAATTTTAGCATGCGCAAATGCTGCAAGAATGCACAAGTGTCAACTTTTCGTAATCGGTAAAAATACACGACCTCAAGCATTTAAAAAAGTAAAGATTTCCCACATTTTATATCATGCAAATAAAAGAGCATGGATGACGCAAGTGTTAATGAATGATTGGTTTGAAAATCATTTCATACCCGAGGCTCGGCAACATTTGAATTCGGTTGGTTTACCTGATGATGCAAAACTTGTCTTGATTGTAGACGACTGTCTGGCTCATACTTCACATACAAGTTTTAATAAAGGATAATGTATCCTTATTATTCTTTCCTCCAAAATGTACATTTATCATTCAGCCTACTGACATCAGAATAGTGTGCGCACTGAAATGCAAATGTAAATTAGCATTTTTAAAATCCATGTTAAATTTTTTTAATTATGGCAACCCTATTCAAGAAAATTTGAAATATTTTAGCATAAAATCTGCTGTGTGGAGCATTGCAAGATCATGGAAGTATGTTTCTCCAGATACTAAAAAAATGCTTGGCATAATTTATGTCCAGCTACCATATTTCATGGTGAGGATGATGAAGATGATAGCCGTGAATTTGAAGGTTTTCAGATATCGCAAACCAAAGGAGAAATTTTTCATCTAATAGATATTGTGAAGAATCGGTAATAAATGAAGATGAGGTAAACAGAAGTTTATCATAGCATTGACAATGCCCCAATCATCAATCAATTAACGGAGGTGAAACCTGTAGTATGGTTCTAGATCCAGAAAACACTGCTACCAATAGTAAAGAAAATGACAGAGAGGTATTGAAAACGAAAAAATTTCGATTGACAAGTTGATTGGAATTCTCGACACAGCTATTACAGAACTTGAACAATGGAACTTTGTAACTGAACAAGAAATTATGTCTGTCTACAGAATTGAACAGAAAGTATTAGCTATTAGCACAAAAAAACAAAGGAACTTAAAGAACTTACACTGAAAGAAATGTTTAATAAAGTAAACAAATAAATATTAAGGTTTTTTTTTTTTTTTTTCTTTTGGTAAATTCTGATACCTTTTAGATCACAAATGCTTCATTATTTCATAAATCATGATTTCATATTTTTAATTTTATAATTTCTACATGCCATGATCTAATCCAGAAAACTTTCGGATCCGGAATCACCAAAGTCCCGGCGAGTCCAGATCTCGGACTATGTACTGTAGTGGTATATTATTTTCATCAAGGAAAACTAGGCATAAGAAAAATATTTTTTAATTTAAAAGATGTTTTAATATGTTTAGAAAAATTGAGAATAGTGGGGAAATCAAGATAATATTTTAATAAATGATTAAATAATTTAAAGAAATATATATTTAAAAAAAGAATCCCAGGCCAGCAAAATGGAAATTTCCCAGTATATCGTGTACTGCTTTGAAACTATATAATATTTGGGATGACAGGTATAATTTTTCATCTTTGAGCAAATCTGTATATTTGTGATAGGGTTATCTTTTACAATAATTTATGGTTTCTATTGCAAACATGAGATCTCAAAAGATACGGTATAGAGATGGTCAAGATCACAGCATTCTAATAGTGACAGGATTGACCTAAAATAGATTAATAATTTATTTGTGCATGTTTCTTAACGAGCTCCTTTGTGGAACTCTTCATGTTACTACATAATTTAACATAATTTAACCTCAACTGCTGCAAAAACACACAAGTGTGCAAAAGTTAACAACTTAATCTGATTTTGACCATAATTTGGGAAAATTTCAATTGGGAGACATGAAATTCATACTCAATTCAGTACGTAAAGGATGATTGGAGTATCAAAAAAAATTAATATGATGCATACAGTATGAAATAAAAAGAAGGCCTTTTTATTGACAGAATAACACTAGTACAAAAAATTGTCTGGCCAAGAGGAAGAACAACAAACCAAGGAGCCATAGTAAGGGATATGACCTCCCCTAAGCATTGCACCACCTATCAATAACCAACACTAGATTAACTAACAGTTCTTGGGGTAAGAGTTCCTATTCTTCAAAAAGCATCTGTTTCAGTTATGCTGTGTTCCCCAGAGGCAGTAAGATAATGCTGCCAGTTATCTGCCTAAAGTATCCCACAAATATTCAACATACAACATATGCATGCTGGCCAATTTATTCTGTGGATAGCTGCACTTTCTGGGAGCTACCCAACAGCATAAGCTCTATATGGCTGTGCACTGTCATCCATAAAAAATAGGTTGGGACCAACCGCACCCTGGAAAAAATGCACCTGGGAGAGGATAACTTTATCATAATAACAATCGTCAGTAAGTGAACCTCTGTTGTAAAGATGGAGTTCTGTCCATCTGTTTATCACAATGTCTTCCCATACATGCATGCCTGAACCAGCCCAGTAATCTTTTTCCCTTATAATAGGTCCTAAGTAGCATGAAAGCATGTCACAACCTGTCTCCATATCAACTGCCACCAAGAATCGTTTATCAGATTGAAATGACTCTCATCAGTAACGAAGACGCGACTCCATTGATGGGGTGTCCAATCTTTGTGTACTGCATTCAGAATGGCAGGCAAAAAGACCACCTTCATGAAGTCACCTGGCCACAGTAAACAGAGACACTTTTTCTTCGATCTGTGCAACTGCTAAGCAATGTTGCCCGCTGTCTGATTTCAATCTCTTTTCACTTGCAAGATGATATATTAATCATCAGTCATTTTTCTTTTCCTTGGCCAACCACCATCAACCTTTCTTATAGCTGTATCTGTCATTTGGAAAGCTTTCCAAGCTCATGAACAACAATTTTATCAATTTCAAACTCTTGGAAGTGGACATCAAACTACATCCCTCTTCAAGCTTGCTCATCATTCTACAATTAGTAAAAGCATCTTGATGTTTTCTTGTAGCCATACTGCATGTGCATCATTTTTCTTTTCCTTGGCCAACCACCATCAACCTTTCTTATAGCTGTATCTGTCATTTGGAAAGCTTTCCAAGCTCATGAACAACAATTTTATCAATTTCAAACTCTTGGAAGTGGACATCAAACTACATCCCTTTCCAAGCTTGCTCATCATTCTACAATTAGTAAAAGCATCTTGATGTTTTCTTGTAGCCATACTGCATGTGCAATCTTCCTTTCTTCTTTTTAAGTTTTCTTGTACTACATGCTTTGACTCCTCACGTTCTGTGTGCCCTGCAGTACACTTTGACATCATAATATTGATATTTGCATATGCATCACCTTTCCACTGAGTTGACTTTTCATCGTACTGGTCATAAAAGGGCCTATTAAAAATTTTTATGGTTGTTATGTTGAAAAATTATTGTTGCTAAAATTTTGCACACTAGCGTATATTTTACTTTAAACTCCATTATCATAACACAATAAGAACTTTATGAACTTACAGTAGTATGGCACTAAAAGTTAAAGTAATGTTACCATGAAAATTTTTTTATTTTTTGCATCCTGTAAGTGTCAGTTCCCCCCATAGTGGATTGAGAACTGGTCAAAATCAGATACTCTGAACTCATGCAGAGATGATACAAATTAACCTCATATGATTCACATAATAGTGTGACTAAAGAGGAAAAAATGACGTCCATTTTAAACGTCAAGTAAAAATTTACTGGAAAATGCTATTATCTAAAATGATAATTTTTTGCGGCCTCTAACTGTCAGTTACACCCTTATAGTCGAATGAGAACAAATCAAAATCAGATAGTCTGAACTTATGCAGAGATAATACAGTACAAAGTCTTTAATCCGGATGTTCATAATCCGGAATGATCTATAATCCATAACCTCAAAGCTACAAACTTTCTACGCATGCGTATAATACCTTTACGCATGCGCATAATAAGTTTACACATGCACGTTTAATGTATAACGGACGGTATAAGCTAGGCTAAAATTATCTAATTATCTTTCAGTTAATGTTGCAGATTGCGTTGTTCTTTAATCTTCTAATTGGATCCAGCTTATTATTTTTTGCAGACTGTTAAAGCAATTTTATAAAAAGTAAGTTTGAACTTTTGATTATGTCAAAAAGAGTTTCCAATTCTGGAGCTGCCAAAGGATCTACAAAGCAAAAGCATGTTTCAATGTCCATCAAACAAAAAGTGGAATTACAGCAAAAAATGGATAAAAGCATGAAGAAAGAGGTTAGTAAAAACGAAAAAATTTCGATTGACAAGTTAGTCCGTATTCTCGGCACAGCAATTACAGGACTTGAACAGCGGAACTTTGTAACTGAACAAGAAATTATGTCTGTTTATAGAATTAAAGAGAAAGTATTAGCACATAAAACGAAGTAACTTAAACAACTTACATTGAAAGAAATGTTTAATAAAGTAAACAAATAAATATTAAGCTTTTTTTTTTTTTTTTTTTTTGTAAATTTTTATACCTTTTAGATCAAAATTCTTTATTTAATAAATTATGGTTTCATATTTTTAATTTTATAATTTCTGCATGCCATCTTACCAGATTCAAATTGATGATCTATAATACAGAAAAACCCCTGATCCGGAATCGCCGAAGTCCCGACGAGTCTGGATTAAAGACTTTGTACTGTACAAATCAAGCTCATCAGATTCACATAATGGTCTGAGTACATAGAGGGAAAATGACATCCCTTTTAATATTTCAAATGTCAAGTAAAAATTTACTGGAAAATGTTATTATCTAAAATGATAGGGAACTAGCCTAGTTTTACTACTTCCTCGACACCATGCCAATGCATCCATATCATGTTTTATTTACTCTTTTTTTGTTCATCAATTTCCATTTGAAAATTTAACTTTACATTCTTTTATGTTTTTACTGTTTTTTTATATATTACTGTTCATTATTTATCAAACCAATACTCCTGGCTGCTTTCGATAAAAAATTCAGCACTTTTCATTTTAGAAATTAAACTGTCTCATTAAAATATAATTATTTGAGATTTTCAAAGAAATAATTATGTGAAGCTTTCCAAAATTTACAACACTGAAAATTAAAAATCTTCAAGTGACCTGGATCTGGATCCCTTATTGCACTTTTAAGTAATCCTTTGCAGTCTTCTGATGAATATGGTGAGATGACTTTCAAACCAGGGCAATTGGAATACCAGGCAGCAAAGCACTGTGAATGTTGAGCAGCAACACCAGCTGCAGCACCGTTGGGACCACGGAAAACAATTGGCACATTGATCTAGGCATAATATTTATTGCATTCTGCTTCAATTTCAAGTAATGCTATATGAATATATAACAAATTACACAAACAAAAATATAAATCTTGATACATTATCAGAAATATGCATTCTACAGGTTTAACCTTTCAACTGTTTGCCCGAAATAATCTCGGGCACAGCACTGGTGCTCCAAAATGACACGCCCGAGTATTACTCGGGTAATTTTTTTTTTGAGTGCATCGTATTGTTATACCCGAATATATATTGTGAGAAGTTTATTTTGGCTTCAATTCAATATATGGCAGCACTTTACTGAAGGTTTCAAAGGATAGAAGTTTATGTTCAAAGTGTGTGGCATTTTTTATTGCAAAATGGTGTCCAGTTCTTTGAAACGTTATATACAGGGGTTGGACAAAAATATGGAAACACCTTTAAAAAAAAAACATGTTTCTTTGCTTAATATGGTGTAGGAAACCGTTTCCAAAACATTGCAGTCTTCTCGGAAATAAATACACCATTGCCAAAATACAGGGTTCGTACACATTTCCTTACATGAAAATTAAGGACTTTTAAGGACCATCAAAGAAAAAATTAAGGACCTATCAGCAAACAAAAAAAAATGAATAGAATAAAGCAATTATCCATACAACCGACTTCATGCTTGTAATTTCACTTTAAAAAACTAACAGAAGTGTGTATTATGCACTATTATTAAATTCAATTTAATACTTACCATAAAACAATTTTGAAAATTAAACTAACTCCCTACAAGTTATGAAGTAGATAACATTAAATTAGGAACATAATTTCTTGAAAAACATGTATAAGTGTATTTTACACTAATAACAGTCACTATTTTAGAGATTTACATGATTATTATTTAACTTATTTGATATTTATTTTAAACACAGTCAACTACTATTATAATCACAATGTAAGAATATTTTGCAGATTAAAATAACTGATTTGTAAACATACAATTTATTTCCTTGGTTTTTTGAAAGATACTAGAATAATAAACTGTACAATAAAAGATACAAAACATTTGTGCTTTTTTTAAATCTGAAATCTTTTCAGCTATTTTAACATCTAATTTATTTATGTCTATTTCCTTTTCTTTAACTATTCTTCTAAGTTCATTTGCTTTGATAAACAAATCAACGTTCCTGCTGGTCTCAGCTTCATCTGCTAAAGCATCTACTTCTTCATTAATGTCTTTAATGTCCCTTTGAAGAAATTTTTTCTTCTGCTTCATATAATCAATTTCTTTCTCAATAATATTTCTTTTCCTCTTTGAATTTTCAGATTTAATTACAGATTTTTGTTCTTCTAAATACTGAACTTCTAAATAACGAACTCCACTTCTTGCAGAAGCTGCTGCTGATCTCATTTCTTATTAATTTCGATATTAAGAACACCTCCAGAAAATTTTATGTAATCAAATACTGTGCGTTGAAAAATGTATGATGAGTCACTTAAATTTTCAATTTCAATTGCTTTATTTACAGAGAAGCCCCTTTCCACAGAGGCCTGTTCATGTGACAAGATAAGAATACTTGTCACAGTGAATACTTGAATAGTGAAAAATATACATTTTTTTACTATATATATAATTTATTTCCTAAACAATATTGATTAATTGATTATATTATTTCCTAAGTTTAATTAAAGTAGAATTATTTTAAAAGAGTGAATCCATACTGGTAAGTTATATTTTGAAAGATGTATATATACAGTACAAAGTCCGAGATCCGGACATCCAATATCTGGAATGATCTAAAATCCGGACCTCAAAGCCACCACCAACCAATTTTTTAGGGCTTTTTTGAAGGGAAGGGGTATGCTTTACGCACGCGCATTAGATTTTTTCCCCTCATCATAAAAAAACATGCCGGAAATCCCGATTCTTAATCTCAGTTTGGCGCTAAATAAAATATCTCATTATTGAAGAAATAATTATTTTAGCATAAATTTGTGTGATTAGTAACTTGACTCCATAGCTGCGTATCTGCTTGGCATAATCTCAAACCGAAACATTTGTTAATTTTACACCAACTAATATTTTATATCCTTGATGCCGAAATCGCGAATCATTATTTATTGTATTTTGCTTTCATCACCGCATGTTTATCAACGGATGACAACTTGAGTGATGAATCATGCAGCGACGCCAAATAACAGAGTATTATCCGATTACAGATTTAAGTTTAATGCGCTAAAATGTTGACAAGGGGAGATTTAGCAGAAATTTCTTTCCTTATGCTAAAAATAGATTTTGTTAATGATACTCATAGGACAAACGATTATATTTAGTGCTATTTGAATTAAGAATAACTGATTTGTTATTCACATAAAGCCAGAACCAGCGCCAGAGCTCGCATGGCCGCACCAGGCGGCAGAATTTAGCGAAGTTAAACAGAAGTTTTTCATTGCGATGACAATGCCCAATCATCAATCAATTAACGGAGGGCGGAATCTGTAGTATGGTTCTAAATCCAGAAAATACAGCTACCGATAGTGAAGAAAGTAACAGAGAGGTTACTGAACGAGAAAAAATTTTGATTGACAAGTTATTCGGAATTCTCGACACAGCAATTACAGGACTTGAACAATGGAACTTAATAACTGAACAAGAAATTATATGTCTATAGTATTAGTCTAAAGTATTAGCAGAGAAAACAAATCAAACAACTCACATTGAAAGAAATGTTTAATAAAGTAAACATATAAATATTAAGCTCTTTTTTTTTTGTAAATTTTGATACCCTTTAAATCATAAATGCTTCATTATTTCATAAATCACGATTTCATATTTTCAATTTTATAATTTCTACGTGCCATCTTAGTAGATTTAAAATGATCTAATATCCGGAAAAATCTCAAATCTGGGATCGCCGAAGTCCCAGACCTCGGACTTTGTACTGTGTAAATATATATATATATATATATAATACGGAATGTATATTTTCAGTTAAACTTCTACCCAATAACTTTAGTAATTCATGAAAGTTAATTTTGCGTCTAGTTAATTCAGGAAAATTAGTTTCAATTAGTTGTTTTCAGCTTTAAAAATATTAAAAAATTTTTAATTAGTTAGTTATTTTCAACTAATAATTGTATCGCCATTAGCAAAAATTATGCATTACTATCAACAACATAGGTTTAAACCAAATACTTAATTGTCTATTGAAGCTTCAAAACGTATTTCCGAACTTCACTTTTTCTCGGCTAGCGTTACCGAATTTGCCCTTGGCGACCTAAAATCGAAATGGAGCCAACAGATTTCCCGCGAAATCGATAACAGACCCTCTGCAGAAATAAACTCATAATCCCGATATCCCATACATATAGTATGTGCAAAAGAGAATAAACTCCGTAGAAGGTGATAAAAAATTAATTTATGGCTTAATTGAAACAAACACAGAAATTAAGCTAAGCAAAACCGTGTAAAAACAAATTGAAATGATAAAACGAAACTTAATTTTCATGTGAATTTTCAGCGCTGACTCTCCCATTCTAGAAATTTCAATTTGTTTCAGACAAAGACCACATTTAAGGATTGCCATCCATCAATATCCAGTCTTTGTAGTCAGCTTGATGAAGCCACAGTTTATTGAAAATGCACTTTCCAGGCATCTCGTTCCTATTGGCGTCGGAAGGGTTGTGGCCTTCCAGGTTGGAATTGCTCTAATTTTGGCAAATATTTTCAGAATCCCCCCCCTTTTTTTTTTTCTCGAGCACCTTCATCATCACTTTCGCCTCTTAAAGAACTTCCGGCTTCACGCTTTCGTCACAATCTGCCTAAATTTCTGGATAACACTTTCGAAACATTGGGTGAATAGGCAATCAGACACCGATACTTTCGTTCAGTTAGCTAATTGTTTTTTTTTTTTTTTTTTTTTTTTTTTTTTTTTTTTATCGTTTGCAATGCAAATCCGCCAACAGATTGGTTAAGATTGGTTAATTCCATATTTATGAGAAATCGTAATTCACACTTAGAATGGCAATCATTAGAAATGATAAGAAATGTCAAATGAGCAAAATTAAGGACCGTTTATTCATTTTGGCCAAAATTAAGGACTTTAAGGACCAAAAATCATTTTGAAAAAATTAGGACTTTTAAGGACCGTCGAACCCTGGATAAACCAATCCAAATTGAAATATGCATATGCATATCCATATATTGCGGGGATGGGCAACCATTTGAAAAACCTTGACTGTAGCTTGTGAACAGGGGTTTTGTGGTTTTGGAAGACACCATCACCATCGGGGACAAAGTTTGTACCATGGGATGAACTTGATCAGCCAAAATGTTCACATAAGTCTTGGCAGTCATGTGCCCTGACACAGTTATCATGGGGCTAGCAGAGAACCACGATATGGCTGCCCAAACCATAACAGAACCTCCGCCATGTTTCACTCTTGGCAACAAGCAGTCTGTATTATAGGCTTGAGATGGCGTTCTACAGACGTAAACTCGGCCAGAAGTGGAAAATAATGTGAAAGAAGACTCGTCAGACCATATTACTCGCTTCCACTGCTCTATAGTCCAGGCTTTATGACTTAAACACCACCTTTTCCTGTTTATGGGCATTAGCATCACTGATGAGTGGCTTCTCAATTGCAGCACGGCCAGCAATTCCCTTTTATGAAGCTCCCTTCTAATTGTTTGGTATTCACAGGCTTCGGTAACACAACATTCATTTCAGCAGTAACTTTTGCAGCTGTGGTCTTCTTATTTTTCGTCACAAGGAAAAAAAAAAAAAAAAAAAAAAAAAAAAAAAAAAAAAAAAAAAAAAAAGGGCCAATTGCCCTTAATGATCGTCTGTCACGATCACTCAGGACACACTTTCGTCCGCGCTGTGATTTAGCATGATGTTTTTCCACTTTTCAAATGCGGAATAAATCTTCGATACAGTACCTCTTGAAACACTAAAACCCCGGCTACCTTGCTACGGAAGCACCTACCATACGTGCTCCAACAATTTGCCCACGTTCAAAGTCTGTTAACTCTGAC